CATTTACACACACACACACACTTATACACTGCGACCAATTTAGTTTATTCATCTCACCTATAGCACATGTCTTTAGACTGTTGGGGGAAACCAGAGCACTTGGAGGGAAAAACCACTTGAACATGGGGAGAACACGGCAGAAATGCCAACTGGTCCAGCTGGGACTCGAACCAGCGACCTTCTAAACACTGAGCCACCGCGCCGCCACTCTATTTTGTATCATTCAAAATTGTTTTGTTTTTTTACTCTATGCCAAAAAATTATTAAACATTAGGTAAAGATCCTCTTCCATTGAGACCTTCTGCAAATGTTCTTCTGGAAATTTATCACAACCTTTCAAAAAATACTATTATGGACAAATTTAAAGGGGATTTCCTTAGTATTTATATTTCTGAAACCTCAACTATAAAGTTTTCAGCTAACTATATCTTGACCAATATTGCCTTATCACAACTATACTTAAATCAATGGAAAACTTATTTATTCAACTTTCATACAATGCATTAATTTATTTATTAAAAATAAAATGACCCTTATGACTGGTTTTGTGGTACAAGGTCACATTTTTAAAAACCACAATAATCAAGAAATAGACACAGTGGTTTTCATCAGTACTGTAATGTAAATCTAAGTAGAACAGATTGGTGAAAAATAAAAATAGGTTTGGGGTTTTGCTCTATCCACTGGTTAGATAATTTGAAGGGCATTGGATTTGATACACATACAGATGGGATTGTGAGCTTGCATTCGACTGCTGAACAGCAGAATTTAGGCAAACTGGATAACCCAGGAGAAATCTGATAAAATCAAAAAAGATTGTTGCTGCTTGCTCAAACAGCTTATTTAAAATGAGCTTAAACAACATGATTCTTGAGGGCAACTTCATAGTTTTATGTTTAATCCACTTCAATTTGATACATTAACGTAATCGATTTACATTATTTGTGTGGAACACTCCATTTTGATTAAACAACTGTAATGGAAGAAACCAAATAAATTAAAATGAAACATTCATGGATGAACCTCTCTGGTCACAAAGGCAGAGTAGATGTGAGGTTTGGAGTAGGTCAAATGTATCAATGAATCTTGACTTAATGGGATAGTTCACCCAGAAATGAGCATTTGCTGTTACTTTACTCACCCTCAGGGCCTCTGAGATGCAAGTGACTTTTTTTTGTATCTTCAGTAAACCATTAATAAGGGGTTTTAGCTGAAACTGTGGCCCTTGGTGATTCATATAATGGCCACACATTTAAGAATAGTCATGCAAAAAATAAAAAAATATAAAAAATGAACACACATGGCTCAAGATGATACATTGAGTTCTTATAAAGGAATAAAATCAGTTTTTCTCAATAACTGATTATTATTGTAAAACATTTTTACCTTAATCCACAGCAAGCGCAGGTTTCAGTAACACTTTAGTTCAGGTCACAATTCATGCTATTGACTACTGGCTTATTTCCTGCCTATTACTATGGTATGAACTGTTTATTAGTAGATAACAAAGTATGACCTTATTCTAGATCCCTAATCCTACCCAAAACCTAAACCCAACTTCTACCTTACTAACTATTAATAAACATCTAATCGGTAGTTTATTAAGCGGGTAATGTTAGTTATTAGTTTGTTAATAGCATGAATTGTGACCTGAACTAAAGTGTTACCTAAGTTTACTGTCGAATAATGGTGTATATCAAAGACTGGAAATCTAAAAGTCAATCATTCAGGCTAAAACTAAACATGAACTTAATCATAATCATGCAAGCCATACTGTAGAAAAATAAATAATCAGTCAAATTCTTCATATTTAAGAATGTGAAAATGAATATGACAATTTTAATGACACTATACAACAATAACTATTAATTTTACTTGACCTACTTTAGGGGTAGTTGTTAATAAAACACAATGTTATGGCTAATTTAAATAATAATAATAATAATAATTATTATTATTTTTTTTTTTTAACTTCTGGCAGAAACTGTACCCCTTCTAGCAACAACCAACAACAGTGGTTTGTTCTGTAGCCATTCAAAAATAAAAATAAAAAATTCTTTAATAATATTTATCTTACCAACTTTTGGACATATTTTTTATATTTCTTTTTTAAAATTCTGTCTTATTTTATTTCTAAAAGAAATTAGTCTTATTCAAGGAGGAAAAAAAACTGCTCTGAAAATGTCCTTGCTCTGTTAAACATCAACAGGGGAATACTAAGAAAGAAATATTCAGGATCCAGAATAACCACAGGAAGTACCATTTGTATGAATAATACAACACACCTACCCTTCCTCTCTATTGTAAACATGAACAATGTAAGCTCGCTCATGAGGCTCACAGAGTATACGAACACGCATGTTGTATTATTGTTTGTCCAAATTATATTTACTATTTATTATCCTGATCCCATCACAGATTTCCAAAGTTTGATACACTCACTTCAGACTGTCATGGATGTGCTTTGCACTGTTTGCCCAGGTTGTAGATTAAAAGTTATGAACGAGTAAGTGATGTCAGTTTTGTGCACAAACTGGGCATTTCATTTGCTTCAAAAGACTGTAATGTATCATCAGGAGACATAAATATTCATTTTGTTTAACTTTTTTGAAGAGATGACCACTGTAACATTATTTGAATCAACAGGGGCCAAAGTTTTGCAAAATAAAATATATATTTTGAATGTTCTATTGAAGATAAAGTCACTTTCATCTTTGAAAGCTTGAGAAGTACATAAATGAACAGAGAATTTTTATTTTTCATTCATTTATCCCTTGATAGGAAAACCATTTTTTTAATTCTTTTTTTTGTGGAAATAATTTGGCTCTACAACACCCCTAGTTTAGTTTTACCATTTTAAAATCCATTCAGCAAATATATAGGTCTGGCAGGAGCACTTTTATCTTAGCTTAGCATAAATCATTGAATTGGATGAGACCATTAGCATTTCACTCAAAAATTTCAAATAGTTTAAAGATTTTCCTTATTAATGCTTGACCATTCTGTAGTTATATCATTGCCGCAGGGGCAATGACATTACGCATTGCCAACAAATAGTCTCCAGCTAGATAACAGCTCTGTGTAATATCACTGCACCTGCTGCGGTCATGGCATGAAAGCAAAGTTCCTTGATAGAGCTTTTCACATGTTTAATGGTCATCAGCATCTTAGTTCCTTTAAAGTTTTTAATATATTATTTAAAAAAAAAATGTGTGAACATTTATATGTATTTATCTATGTGCAACCTGTCCTACTGTACCCAACCCGGTCTGAGCTGGTATCAAAATGGCAATTCTTTGGGAGTCGGTTGCTCTAACAAGGAGGCTAAAGGCCATGGGCCCTAGCATCTGTCGCTAGAGCATCTTTTGAGGTCAGAGGAGTGAGGTTTAACTACATAGCAGCGCTAGCTGGCGACCATTACACACACTCACCCCCCTGACTCCCATATCGGACAAGCCTCCACGTGTAACCCACTGGTCCTACTGCACTCAACCTAGTCTAAGCACCGTTAGAGGAGTGAGGTTTACCTACATAGCACTTCGCTAGCTGGACTCTGTTACATTTGTATTAAATGATCTATGCATCAAATAACACAAAAATGAATTACCCCTTATACGAGGCACTTAAAATGCACTCGAGTGTTTGGGCGGAAAAGTAAATTTGACATTGTTCTTTCTTCTGTCTGCCATTATCAAGCTCACACAATTTTCTTTCTTTTTTTTCTGAAAGTCTTGATAACACCATTGTGAAGTTTTTCTTTGATTATTTAAGCCAATACAATTGTAAAAAAAAAAAAAAAAAAATATATATATATATATATATATATATATATATATATATATATATATATATATATATATATATAAGTTTATATTTGATGTACTAACCTATTTGCTGTGCTCTAGGTTTACCCAACTATGGGTACTTATGCTTCTTTGAAACCCAGAAATGTGAAAAAGGTCCATTATTACACAGGAATAAGAGTAAAGCTCCTAGCCTTATTCATTCATTCATTCATTTTCGGCTTAGTCCCTTTAATAATTTGGGTTTGCCACAGCGGAATAAACCACCAACTTATCCAGCATATGTTTTACACAGCGGATGGCCTTACAGCCGCAACCCATCTCTGGGAAACTTCCATACACTCTCATTCACACACACACACACACACACTACGGACAATTTTAGCTTACCCAATTCACCTGTAAACCTCAAAAAGCATTCGGAGGAAGCCCACACGAACATGGGGAGAACATGCAAACTTCACACAGAAATGCCAACTGACCAAGCCGAGGCTCGAACCAGCGACCTTCTTGCTGTGAGGTGACAGCACTACCCACTGCGCCACCGTGCCACCTCAAGATAAGCTAAAATTGCTCCCGCCAGATCCGGAGATTGCCAGAATAGATTCAAAAATAGTAAAACTCAGCTGTTTAACTGTAGGGAACTAGAAGGCAGGGGTTTATTGCACCTCAGTACAGACAGTAAACGGTAAAAACAAAGCTTTCAATATTGCACAAAATATGTGTAAATTACTTTTAGGTTATTTTTTAGGGTCATTCTGTTTCTTTTCTAAGCTTAACATCCCTTAATCATGGCAAACCTTGGCTTTACGGCAAAAGCTGTGTAACAGTTTTTCACAAATTCATATAAATGCTCAAAGAAACAGCATTCAGGTTAGGAATGGCATGAGGCTATGTAAATAACAAAAGAAATCACTTGGGGGTGAACTACAGTACAGTAGTCAACTTCTGAAGTGGATTTAAAAAAAGACAAGAATGGGTTTTATATAATTGTTTTAGAACTACTTTGATAAACGGTTTTGATCGACATGTTGACTATTGTATTATTTTAATACAAATGTACATTTTCCATATTATTTCTGTAGAAGTTGGAGATTTGGATGATGTTGGATTATTATATTATTATTCCCTGTTTTAACAGACTTCCTAATCATTTCCTGGTGACATAATTACGGTGCACTTTAAAGGAAACAGAGATTTAACAGAACAGGCCATGTTTTATAGAATGCTAACATGACATTTTCCGGCCTTCAAAGGCATTCGTGTGAGAATAAAAAAAAGAAAAACCACAATAAAAAGGCTTCCAAGCCAGGAATAAACCCAGATAAAGCTACATTCTACACAAATTTTAAAAAAGGACAAAGAAACTGAAAAATGTTTTGGCTTCTGGTTGACAGCATTACCCTCATTTATTTTGTTTTAAGGCTTCTTTTTCTCTCCATTTCGCCCACTTCTCTACTGTTCCTCACAGCTTTTTGCTTTTCTTGAACAAGCTCTTGATCTTGGAGCGTTTTTTCTCTCCGTTATCGCAAGAGTCCTGGGGGGAGGTGGTTTGGAGCTGCTTGGACTCCTTGATAGCTTTGCTTTCTATGTCGAGTGAGCTAATGGAGGGGTAATGTCCTTCTAGAGGTGTCCCACTAGCGGGCAGCTGACCCATGCTGTATGACTTTTCCAGAATGCCATTGTAGGCCACAACTCTGGTGCTAGGGTGAAAGGTTAAATTTTGGTATTCTGGAAAATCAGAAGAGCGGGTCAGATCAGGAGAGCCCTTGTGAACTGAGGAGGAGTCATGAAAAGAAGAAGGGGACGATGTGGAAGGAGGCATGATGGTCTCCAAAGCCAGCGCCTGGGCCTCCAGGGGATAAAACTCCTCACGGGAGATTTTGCGAGGAGGGGTTTCCGTGCCCGTAACACATGTACTTTGAACAGCGGGACCAGAAAACTGCTTCCTTCCCAAAGAGGAACTGAGAGAGTCTGAATCTGAGCACGTGTCCTGAGGGTCCCTGTGGAAGAGAAACACAACCTGTGTCATCATTTTCTGTAAGATACACAATAATAACAGTCTGAAATAATGAGTTTGATTTCATTGCTGTCTGGAATAATCGATTCTGATTAGTCAGTCTGGCATTTCAAAGTATGTTATTCAGAGATGACAAACACTGAATAATAAGCTCATCCTGGAATTTCTAATTATCTTGACTGTCAGTGAACAGGTTCACGTTTGTATCCTTACATCCGCATTTGTTTGTATTTGCTTGCTTGCCATTTTTTTACTTTGAACATTTGGCACTGTCTTGAAAATGAATATGGAGGTTAGTATATGCTTCACTCAGCTGGTTTTGTTTCTGTCAGCTTCGTGTTTTTGACTGTTTGGCACCATCTTGTGACTAAATAATGTGCCGGTTAGTGTATACTCCATTCAGTTACATTCAGATGTTTTCCTTTCTGTCAGCTTTGCATTTAATTTAAGAATTAATAAACATCAGAGCAATGTTTTGTGTCTAATATTGATGTTTTGTACCAAGTATTTATGTAATAAGCAGGATAAAGTACATCCATGTTGATTCCTTTCACAGAATAAAGCCCTGCAGTCTTATACAGCCCCAAGAAGTCTCAGTCTATTTGATAAAAAATAGTAATGTTGGAAAATATAATTACAATTATTTTATTCAATTATTATTATTATTATTATTATTATTATTATTATTATTATTATTATTTTATTTCAGTGATGACAAAGGAATTGTCAGCTATGTAACACAATCATTCACATAGTATACTAATATTGTAATTTTGGTGTTCAAGTAAAACTCATTATTATCAATATGGAAAATAGTATAACTGCTTAAAATCTTTGTGGAAACTGATTTTTTTTTTCAGTATTCCATGAGAAAGTATATATATGGTTGGACAATGAAACTGAAACGGCTGGTTTTAGACCACACTAATTCATTAGTATGATATATGGCTTCCTTTTGTGGACAATACAGCATTAATTTGTCTTGGAAATTTGTCCTAAACAATGAGAGGGATTTTGAGCTATTCTTCTTGCAGAATATTGGCCAGGTCACTATGTGATGCTGGTGGAGAAAAACGTTTCCTGACTCGCTAGAAAATAATTATGTACAAGTGACTACTTGAATTGAATAAAACATTTTATTTAAATTGTCAGTTATATTTAATCCATACGCAACAGCGTAACACACATTTGATTTTTGATAAACAGATAAATTTGAACCTGGTGTTAAACACTATAGCCTTCGTAGCTCTGCTGCCTTGGCTGCAATTTTTTCGCCTGTCAAAAAGTCCTGTCAACTTCTGCTTGTGGCTTTTTCTCAACGAGTTTGCCATAGAGATGGTGTTGAGCCACAGTAAGATAGGATGTTCCTTGGCTGTGGTGGCAATGCTTCTAATGCAGAAATTAAAGGTGTGAACGTACACTGGTCTCACGGTTCGGTTCGGTTACGATTGTCATGCCATAGATTCGGTTAAATTTAATATCTTGGTGAATCACAGTGCATACATAGTATAATATATATATATTATTTTTATTTTTTATTTTATTTATTTTTTTTTTTTTGTCACACCTGTAACAAGCTGTCTGTTTAAATACACACACATAGACACAAAGCACCAAGCAAGCGACACAAAGCATTACGCTCTCTCTCATTCACACACATAAACAAACACACGTGCGCGTGACATGCACAACTTTACGCTGCATGACTTTTTTTAATTAGCCTACATTTGTAACAGTTAATTTTTATGGTATGAACTTTTATCCAAGGAAAGTCAAAAATAAATGAATAAATTAAGACCTTTGTAACAAAATCCAAGACTTGGTATATCAAATTCATGGCAATTAAGGCCTTCATTTGAGATGATCAAATTTAAGACTTTTTCAATGCTTTTAAAACCCCATGTGTACTCTGAAAAATTAGATCTGGTGACTGTGCAGGCCCTGGCAGTTGTTCAACTTAAATTTTTGTTCCTCAAACCATTCTGTCGCCAATTTTGCTGTGTCTTTTTGTGCTGTATCATCCTAATACATACCACTGCCATCAGGATACAATGTTTGAACCATTGGGTGCACATGGTCCTTCAGAATGGTTTAGTAGTCCATGGCAGTGATGCGCACATCTACCACAAGTATTGGGCCTAGGGAATGGCATGATATTGCAGCTCAAACCATCTGATCCACTCCCATGCTGCAATCAGGGCATGCAACAGTCAGGGTGGTAGCCTTTTTTGGTGTTTTTCCACACCGTAACTCACCCTGATGTGGAAACGACAGTGAAGATGGACTCAGCAGAGAACAATAAATGTTTCACATTGTCCACAGCCCAATATTTTCACTGCTGACACCACTGACACTGACGTTTGGAATTGGCACAGATGATTAAACACTTGGCTATAGGAGCTTGTATATTGGATATAGTATTTTATAGTATATTGACCCTTTGGAGCTTCCGACAAACAGTTTTGGTAGAAATAGAAGAGTTGAGCTGCACATTTAATTCTGCAGTGAGTTGGGCAGCAGTGGTTACATGTTTTTTTTTTTTGTTTTGTTTTTTATACAATCTGAATTAACACCCGTACATCCCTTTCAGACAGCTTCCTCTTTCATCCGCAGTTACTTTCGTTGGATGTGGTTCATCCTACTTGCTGATATCCTAATTTAGATACAGTGGTTCTTGACACATCAGAAAGACTTGCTGTCTTGGTCACAAATGTGCCAGCAAGACAGGCACATTGCAATGTTTTAAGCAAAACTGTGCTGTTACTATGCTATTTAAATAGTCATACTTTGCTTTTACTAGTGGAATGTGCAATCAATAAAGACTGTCCGCCAGGCAGGTCAAATTTAGCCATGAAACCTCAAACACTAAATTAGCCAGTGTTTTAGTTCCATTGTTCATCAGGGTATAAATCTTTATAACATATACAATATATAATATGAAATATCATTACATAATCACTCAAACTTCTTGATATTACTTTTTAAGCAAATGTGTTTTCATTTGATCAACATAAAGACAATTTTAAAGTTAAGATTTCTATTTTAAACATTGCTGTTCGTATATAATAGTTAAAGAATCCTGAAAACCGTTTCCACAAAAAAAAAACTTTTCTAAACTAAAAAATGTCTTCTTTTTCACATTTTTACTATAAAAATAAAGTGGTTTTCTTAAATAAAAAACTGCATAAATTAAACAAAAAATAATTCTAAAATGATGATAAAAATAATAAAGCATGACTAAACTAATAAATAAACAAATATATGTAAACAAACCCTGTACATGTCATACCCCTTTCTTTCAACAGTGAAGAAGATGTGTTCTTCCTCTCCCTCGGGTCTGTAGACCAGTGGGGCCGAGGCCATGGACAGCAGGTCAGGGTCAGCAGAGAGAGTGGTGGGCTGAGACATGAGACTTCTGCGAGAACGACAAACACTGCTGTTGCGCGTCAGAGGAGGTCGAATCAATGGAGCTGGGAAGAAGAGATCAGAGGCACTTAATGTTATTCTTATCTTACTAAAAGAGCAAGAACTGCCCAATGAAAAGTCTAATGCTAAAATAAAAAGGGAATATTGAAAACTTTGGCATACTAACAAACCTCCAAGTTATACGAAAAGTCTGTTAAACTGATTTTCATCACAATCCCACACAATGAAAGACATCATATTTTGTCAGTCATTTAAGTACTGTAGCCTTACCAATACTGCTATCTCAGTGGACCAAAATCCTGCTCCACATCTATTTTCAAAATTAATAAAAACGTTGTTTGAAATTTCACAAGAATTATGTTTGTACTGCTTTTTTATCATACGAATGTGCACTTGTTAAAAATGTTAGAGATGAGTTTTAATAACTCATCTCTAATGGCTGATTCATTTTACCTTTGCCATGATGACAGTAAAAAAAATATTTGACTAAATATTTTCCAAGACACTTCTATACAGCTTAAAGTGACATTTAAAGGCTTAATTAGGTTAACTGGGTTAACTAGGCAGGTTAGGGTAATTAAGTTATTGTATAGCAATGGTTTGTTCTGTAGACTATAGAAAATTATTTAGCTTAAAGGGATTAATAATTTTGACCTTAACATGTTTTTTTTTATTATTATTATTAAAAACTGCTTTTATTCTAGCAGAAATAAAACAAATGAGACTTTCTTCAGAAGAAAAAAATATTATCAGACATACTGTGAAAATTTCCTTGCTCAGTTAAACATAATTTGAAAAATATTTAAAACAAAAAAAAATTAGGGGGGTGAATAATTCTGACTTTAACTGTAAATAAATATGAATCTTTTAAAGCCACATTTTTCAAAATCTCGTTTTTTTGGGAGGGGTACTTACAAGTGAACTGTGGAATGATTGGTGGTGTGTCCTCGTCAAGATCGTCCACTCCACCAGCAATCGGGTAGGGTGGCACTGACATGCGTGGCATCACCACCCAGCTGTGGTCAGCATATAAAGAGGCGGTGAGGCTGGGCAGCCCAGAATTATTAACCACTGGAAAGCCACATAACCTCTCTATTTGCTGCCAGCGGTGGAGGCGTTCCCGCAAACATGCTGTGACCTCTGATAGAGCTTTTCTAAAAGGAGATATTAATAAATCAATGATAAACTTGCAATGTATAGTGGGTAACCATTTGTTTCTGTGTAGGTGTGCAGCATGTGTATTATGTGTGCTTACTTAGCCTCAAGTATTTTGTGGTCTACTTCATCCAGCGATGAGCTGTGTGCAACGTGAAGGGTACCAAACACTGAGCTTCTCTTCTTCTTAATCTTTTCTGCCTGAATTTCACAAAGCATGAACACAGAAACACATTACTTTGGCCATTCAATTTTCAACATTAATATTAAATTAGAATTAGTTCACCAACATCTAAGGACAATGTTATTTTGATGTCCAATAACGACATGAAATGACTGATTTTTGATTGATTTTAGGTTGTGTTGGAAAGTAACCAAAATCCAACGTTGAGCCAGCATCTTAACCCAACGTCATGTTGACCTCAAAAACTGACATTTATTCATCAGGTATGGCAATTAAAATCCAACGTCTGATAGACGCAACCCAAGCTCATTCTGGAAACGTAGCCCCGCGGACGTTTCTGGAGACCGCGATTTACGTGGCTGGAGGTACGTGAAAGGCCGCGTTTGGTTTTTTTCGAGCGAACGCTGCGGGGCGGTGTGGCGCCGCTCCGCCCCTCCTCTTCGCGCTCGCCGGCCGACGGCTCGCCTCCGAGTGGAGGGCTTTCCCGATGCAATCAGTTTGTCCGCCTAGCTCACAGCGTTGCGTCGGCGGAGCGGAGGCCCCGGAGGAAGAGGAGGAGGACGAGCCGGAGCCGGCCGCGGTGGACGATGACCTGGATCGAGTCCGGGGAACGGCGGGTTATAGAAATCAGGTAAGACGAAAAATGGAATCCGGAAAATAAGGGCGAGAACGCGGCGGGATCCGAAAACGCGGTCGAAATCGAAGACGAGGGCTTTTGCTTTTTTTTTTTTTTTTTTTTTCGATCCGGCGGCTATTTGCGCGAGAACGGCGCGCACAGTGGCCTCTCGCGGATCCGCGAAAACAAAAAAACGCTCGAATACGTACCTCCCGGGACATAAATTGCGGTCCGCAGAAACGTCCGCGGGGCTACGTTTCCACAATGAGCCCGGGTTGGATAGACGACATAGTGGTAACATCCACACAACGACAAGCAGTTACATCATTAGACGTTGATATTTGGTTGTTTTTGGGGGATGTTGGAAAGTCAAAATGCAATGTCTGTCTGAAGTTGGACATTGATGTTAGCCTGATGTTGGGTTCTGATGTCAATCTGATTTTCATTCCCAATCAAAATGCAACGTTCCACGACGTCGGGGTACAATGTCAATCTGACATCATTTTGACTGATTTTAAAATAACATGTTAAGCCTGGGGGTGATGCAGTGGCGCAGTAGGTAGTGCTGTCACCACACAGCAAAAAGGTCGCTGGTTCGATCCTCGGGCTGGATCAGTTGGCAACATGTCAAAACATGTTCATGACTGCAAAAATGTATTATTCCTTGCATGTTGTGCCTGTCTATTATCATACATAAATTGTACTAAACTGATGCGTTCGTATCTAAAAAGTTCATAACAATTCATTTTCTTTTTGAACCACCAGGTGGCAGTATTTTACTTTTATTTTAGAGTGCAGACTGCGTTTGTTTTATTAATATATCTTTTTTCTTATATATAATATAACTTTATTCGTTAAATTTCTTCTCTTTTTTAATCAGGGGTTGCTACAGCGGAATGAACCGCCAACTTATCCAGCATATGTTTTACGCTGCAGATACCCTTCCAGCTGCAACCCATCACTGGGAAACATCCATACACACTCATTCACACACATACACTGCGGACAATTTAGCCAACCCAATTCACCTATACCACATGTGTTTAGACTTGTAGGGCACCCAGGGGAAACCCACGCGAACACAGGGAGAACATGCAAACTCCACACAGAAATGCCAACTGATCCAGCCGAGGCATGAACCAGGGACCTTCTTGCTGTGAGGTGAACGTGCTACCCACTGTGCCACCGTGCAGCCTGGATATAAATATTTCATTCTAATTTTGGCAACTAAAACATGTTAGTGCTTAAAATGCAATAGTACTGCATGACGACACACCAGTGGAATGAGGTCTGCACATTTGTTGGTTGTACTGAACACAAGCTCATCTCCTACTGCAGTGGCTGCTAATTGCTTGAGCTTAACTGCTGGTGACTCATTCCAAACACAATTAACAAACCATGTAGTTAAAATGTAATTCAACCACATCATTAGAAATCTAAATTAAAGGGGGAAACTTTCAGCTTTATTTTTTGTCAGCTGCTGACAAAGAAAGTAAGAGAGGTTTTACTAAGGAAGACTTGCACTGACAACAAAACCTAAACTTAACAAATATATTAATGTACAGTGGTGTGAAACCTTACTGATTTCTTGTTTGTCACACTTTAATGCTTCAGATCACATCAAAAGTGTAAATGTTAGTCAAAGACAACACAAGTAAAGACATCATGCAGTTTTTAAATTAGGTTTTCATCATCAAGTGATAACAAAATCTAAAACTACAAAGCCCTTTGAGAAGAAAAAAAAAGTGTTTGAAGTCTTCTTGGGTTCTGCAACAGGACAATAATCCAAAGCACACCAGCAAGTCCACTTCTAAATGGCAGAAGAAAAACAAAATGAAGACTTTGGAGTGGCCTAGTCAAAGTCCTGACCTAAATCCAATTGAGACTCTGTGGCATGACTTTAAAAAATGCGGCTCATGATTTAAAATGTGGCTAAATTACAACAATTCTGCAAAGATGATAGGGCCAAAATTCAATTATCAAAAATGCATGATTGCAGTTGTTTCTGTTAAGGGTGGCCAATCCAGTTATTGGGTGTAGGGGCAAACAATTTATCACACAAAGCTATGTAGTTTTGTATTTTGTTATTCATTAATAATAAAAAAAACTGCAAGATGTCTTTACTTATGTTATGTTTGACTATTATTTACATTTGTTTCATGATTATCTACATTTGTTTCAAGTATGACAAAAGTGCAAAAAAATAAATAAATCAGCAAGGGGGCAAACACTTTTTCACACCACTGTACATATAGTTTCTATAAAAATCATCATACCCCTTTGAAATAATTACTTTATTCGTTATGTAGCCTGAAATCAATCACATTCCAAAAAAACGTTTCTAGCCTAGAAATGTTTTTGTAGCCTTCTCCTATCCTAAAGGTCTTTTGAAAGCGAGTGTGATGACAGTAAAGGTGTACATTTTCACAGGGTATAATGAACTGATAGCTGTATGGTCTGCCCCTTTAAAATGTTTTGATAAAACAGGCATTTCCTGGGCCTAGAAGATAAATGTCTGACCTCATCCTTTGCGACTGTGAGCTGCAGCTCTGCGTTCTGCTTCTTGATGTTGTAGTACTGCACCTCCACCTCATGTGTGAGCTGTAGCCACATCTGCAGGGCTTCAGGCAGAGACCAGTCTGACTGCATCTGCTTCTCTGCTCGCTTCAGAGCCATTCGCACCTAGAAAGACCACAACAACAAAATACAGTACTAACACCAAAAACACATTGTAATATGTCTTGAGAAGCAATCTATCTCTATAAGTATGGTTTTACAAATGAGCGATGTAGAACAAAAAGGCAACAGCAGAGGTAACATGAGTTTAAAATGCAACAATTTACATTTTAATATACAAATTCAAATTCACCAGTTTAACACTTTAATTTAATTTTTAATCACTCTAAAAACATTGTTTTGATTAGGTAATTTGGTTAAATTTGGATTTCTTGACAACAATCTAAGCAAACTTTCTTTTTTTTTTATAATAATTACCTTTGGAAAAAAGGCCAAGCAGGCAGTTACAATACCTTTAAAGGGTTAATAGTTCATTTAGTCATATTTAACTGTACTGTATCATATTGATAGCATCAAAATTGTTACATAAAAGTGTCTTTAACAGGTCAGTTATTGTGCGTAATCAAAATTTCAGCTTCTTCTGTTTCTCATTGGCGTCATAAAGAAAATAAGTTGAAGTATATATTTTCAATTATACCTTATGCAAACTGTGCTCTGATATCTAGGGGCCCTATCATACACCCAGCGCAATAAGGTGCAAGACGTGTTTGTCACTATTTTTTGCTATTTTCAAACCAGCACAACCCAAATTTTTACATTTTGCGCCACGTTGTTTAAATAGTAAATTTATTTGCGCCAGTTTGTGCACTCATGGGTGTTCCGGTCTAAAAAGGAGGTGTGTTAAAGCATTGTTGGCCCATCGCGATTTTGAGGAACTGAAAAAGATTGTGCCATTGAACAAATGAAAGCTACTCCTAAGTCCAGCGCATATAAAACCACCACCTCCATGCCTTCTTCATCTCTGGGGGCTTTTTTTCAGTTTATTCATGACAATCTGCATTTGTATAATGATATTATTATTATTATCAGCATTATTTCTTATATGCATATTTATATTTGCTTTAATATACTATATAATACAAGTTTAGATTTGTCCACCTGTCAGGTTTTGAAGACGTCTGCATCACCATATGGGCCATAAGAACAGGACGTGTGTTTGGATATAACTCACTTGGTTATTATTTTTCATTTATTCCTTTGCTGGAGATTAGAACAGAATTTAGAAACTTAAATTTTTGTGCTTAACAAACTAAATTAAATTTGTAGGCTTATGGATGTTTTCAGTGGAGTGCTGTACAACACAGTTTCCTTACTTCATGAAAGTAAAGGAGTAAAGTAAAGAGTAAAAGTAAAGAGAAAGTAAAGAGGCCGAATGGAGGAGGCTCGTTCTTTATCCTCGCGCTGGAGATGCTCTGTTTAACTGTTTACTCGTTAGTGAAGCATTCAGTTTTTCCACTTACAAAGTGCCTCTTATTGTTGAATTGTTGAATGCCTTCTCAGTTATAAGTTGCTTTGGTCAAAAGCATCTGATAACTGATTTAATGTAAATGTACACTATTAATGCACTAATATGACTGTTTTTGCTTCTCTTAATACTTTTTAGAAAATATTGGAAATGTCTATAACACTTTATAATAACTATACACTATAAATCATTTATTAAGCATTAGCAAATTTGGAATTCATAATCTGTTAAGCATTAACTCTAAATTAATAGACATTAGTAAGCAGCTTATAACTGCAGCTACAAATGCTGTATTCTTGACTTATAAGCACACTTATAATGTGCTTAATCGTTGTACTTTCAGACTTTGTTATTGATTCATTCTTCATTACTAAATTAAGTATTGCATAATTTACAAAGCAGTTATTTAAGAATAGTTAGTGCTAATTCAAGTTTATTCAGAATGCGTAAGTACATCATTAATAAACTATTTAAATACTATTTATGCTTTATAAATCCCTTATAAATGACAATTAAAGACAGTTAATTTCTAAACAGGAAAAAAATGACATAAACGCCTTTATTGATTTCTATTCGTTTGAAGATGCACAAATGAAATTGTACTTCAGATGAAAAATGAATATTTGCAACCTTATCTAAAATAAAATTACCATACAGTTTAAACATTGCATCATATTATATTGTTAAATTAGTTTATTGTTGTTGTTTTATCCAATTTTATGTCGTATTTTGACACTCCAGTTATTTAACAGCGTTACAACTTTACAGTAATTTAACTTTTTTAGATTGCAAAGTTTTGATACTGAGCCTACAATTGTTATTTATAAGGGGTTCATAAAGCATGAATAGTCCTCACTTTAGATCAGTTCACAAAACTGCATGAAGATGAGTTAGTGAAGCATTTATTAACATGCATAGTAACCATTAATATATGCCTAAATAATAAGATTTATAAACGTTGATTTCAATAGTTTATAAATCATTTACTAACTCATTCTGAATGATCTTAAAAACCATCAACTACTCTTGAATACAAATGGTTTATAAATAAAGCTATACTTAATTTAGCAGTAAAAAATAAATCAGTAACAAAAGTATTAAAGGGCACCTAGGTTACCCCTTTTTTCAAATTTATTATAAGTGTTTTGCATCTCCAGAATGTGCATGTAAAGTTTCAGCTCAAAACACCCATCAGACTTTTCATTATACCTTTTACTAGATCCTGTTTTAAACATCTTTCTACTAGGGGGTTGTTTTGTCGTACTGCGCCTTTAAGGCGAGTCCTCCCCGCCTAACTTTTCTACGTGTCTTTCTGTATGCCTTAAACTCCTCCCTCGGCTGCGTCAGAAAACAGACAGACTTAAAGGAAGAAGATCTCACGTAGCGTTTGTGAGAATTACCACAGTAAAAACTTTACCAATGAGTATTTGTTGTGCAGTGGCATTGATAAGTCACACACAATATAGTTACAAAGTTCACACACGCAAACACACCCACACACCGATACACACGCACACACACACCGCAGCAGACACACACACACACACACACACACACACACACACACACACACACACACTGACAGACAGAGCGCTTTTAGCTTCCCACTCTTTTCTCACTCTTTTTGCATGCATAAGTGACTGAATGCAGCTTAATCTCCACTGCTGTATGGATATCTGTTATGTTAATGTACAAAATAAACCTGATTTAACGTCCACAAACCAGGATTGAAGCGTAATATAGAGTTAATGCTTAACAAATAATGAATTCACTAGATATGCTTAGTAAATTATTCATAGTGTGTAGTTATTATAAAATGTTACAGAAATGTCTCTATATTTAACTAATAAGAATAACTTGGGTACATTTCTTGTTTGTAAGGGAATGTATTTCACCCTAAAGATGACTTATCAAACATATACTTTTCTAATTATTAGAAGAACAACCTCAAACAAGCTAAAAATATGTGATAAAGATGGCTACTCCATCACCACAGTAAAATCAACAAGCCAAGTATGCTTACTCTGCAAACTTTTTTTTATCTAGCATACGTTTATCAAAAGTTGACTGCTCAGATTAGATAAAAGTATAGGACAAATATACTTTCATTGACTACTTGTTAGTATTAATTATAAGCACAAATCTAATAAATACAAAAAATAGACAAAATGTACTTTCATATTTTTTGCTTTGACAGACGTCTATTTTGTAGGGGTTAATTTGGTATTGTTTGTACAGTACCTGCACAAGCTCCTCCTCTGCGTATTTGAGTCTGCTGAGCTCACATTCAGCTCCCTCCCGCAGCTCTCTCAGCCTGCTGGCTTCTTTCTTCGCTCCTGTGATCTCGTCACGCATCTTCTGCTCCAGGTTCTGCTTCTCCACAGCCACCGTCCGGTTCTCCTCCTGAGCCTTTTCCAACCTGACGGCACCAGAGACCAGTTTAAGTCACATCTACATGCTAGTGTTTTACAATTAAATAGTAAGTACGTAAGTAAGCAAGTAAGTAAATAAATAAATAATAATAACAATATTTTGAGGACTGGGAAAAATCCATACACAGTCACACACACAAACACACTACAGCAAATTTAGTTTATTCAATTCCCCTATAGTGCATGTCTTTAGGTTGTGGGAGAAACCGGAGTACCTGGAGGAAACTCACACCAACACAGGGAGAACATGCAAACTCCTCACATTATTTAGTATATTGATTTCCACTTTAATGGAAATATCTATAACAACTTCAAATAATGTAACCATTTAGCAGAAAACGGCATGTTTTATTATAGCTTTTAGACCAAGGGTGCTGCAATCTTGGAATATCGCTGTGTCTGACATCATGGGGTTGGTTCTTTTCCATCAGCTGAACAGATACAGTGGAAGTAATGGACTGACCACAGAGACTTTAAAGCCTAATTTAACCCAATGCGTGACGTTGTGGACGTGGAGCTGCTTTCCGGTCTCTGTGTTCACAAACTATCGTTATACAATAACTTGCCAAATTACCCTAACACGCCTAGTTAACCTAGTTACGCCTTTAAATGTCACTTTAAGCTGTATAAAAGTGTCTTGAAAAATATCTAGTCAAATATTATTTACTGTCATCATGGCAAAGATAAAATAAATCAGTTATTAGAAATGAGTTATTAAAACTATTATGTGTAAAAATCTGTTGAAAAAGTATTCTCTGTTAAACAGAAATTGGGGGAAAAAATAAACAGGGGCCTAATAATTCAGGGGGGCTAATAATTCTGACCTTAACTGTTTGATTGCAGTCCAATTTCAAAACATTGGAGAGTGTTTTTTTTTTACCCAGTTCCTTCATCGACAACTCTAAGCAAACATTGGTTGCCAGATTGATGACACAAACAGGAGTGAACATGCCTGACAATTAAACCTTACATCGTCAGCTGCTCAGCTAATGCTTTCGTTAGTAATATTTATATTATTTGCTAATTAAAAACCACCACATGTGGATTTGTGTTTTCCACCAAGGAAACCTGGCATGCTGAATTATAATTGGCTGAAATATAAAAGTCATGTGTATTTATATAGAGCATTTATCGTGTATGGCCATACACCCATAGCGCTTCACAATCATGAAGGGGGGTCTCACCACACCACCACCAGTGCGCTCAACACACACCAGCTATAGGTGGAATGGAGATACAGTGATAGAGCCAGTTAGGTGGATGGGGATGATTTGGAGGCCATGATGGGTAAAGGCCAATAAAGGGAATTTGGCCAGGACACTGGGCTTACACCCCTACTCTTTACCAGAAGTGCCATGGGATTATAATTAACACAGAGGGTCAGGGTCTCGGTTTATCATCTCATCCGAGTGATAAAAAACTAAAGAATTTTATCTACAGTGAACAGACACCATATGTACATTTAAAGTCTAAAGTATTATCCTGTGAAATTTTTATTCTTTTTTTTTCCCACATAATGTTTAAAAGCCAGGAGATGAAGCCGGTGTTCGGCCATTGGGCTTCGTCAGTGTGCAGGTATTTATCCTCCTCCTCTTCTTCTTTTGGCCTTAGTCCTGTATGGTTGCGGGGTCGGCTCTTTGATACAAGTCCTCCATTTAGAGTTGTCCATATGATAACAACTTTTTTTACACATTCCGGCCAGCCTATCGTCTGGGCCTGTCAGACTCATACACACATACACTGATACACTACGGACAATTTAGCCAACCCAATTCACCTGTAGCATCTCTTTGGACTGTGGGGGAAACCGGAGCACCCAGAGGAAACCCACGTGAACGCAGGGAGAACATGCAAACTCCTCACAGAAATGCGCCCTGTGCACGTATTTATCCCAACGTACCTAATCTTATTAACCTAGTCTTTGAATTTATATACTGTACTTTAGGCTACTGTATATAGGAGTGTCTTGCAAAGTAAGTACAATCTATATATATATATATATATATATATATATATATATATATATATATATATATATATATATATATATATATATATATATATATATATATATATATACATATTAGGGGTGTCAAAATAATTGTTTCTTCGGTGCACCGCGATGCAGTTGGGACAATTTGGTATGGGTTCAGTAATAATCATAACCGGTTATTATGTACTGACGTCATTTTTCTCCTATGCGCTCTGTCGCGAGGAAGGTGAGCGCGAGTATTTAAAACTCAGGGCCGGCCCATGGCATAGGCACCATAGGCAAATGCTAAGGGCGCTGTACATCAAGGGGGGCACCAGAAATGAGCGCAGTTCAGTTGGTTTTGTTTTGATATTCCTGACACATATTCAGTTAACGTTATAGATGGCAATAACTCAAAAACCTCTTACCCTAAAAAGATCTAAAGTGTGTTTCCTACAAAAAGACAAAGCTGGTTATGTTTCACAGCTGTCTTTCTTTCTTTTTTTGCTCGACATTACGAGCACTGCTCCGTTTGAGCCCTCGCAATATGTGTTTAGCCGAGAGAGCTGGCGCTGAGAGGAGCTCTCAGTAAGGGACCGTTGAAAAAGTGCTTCTTTTTTTTCGTTCTTTTTTTTCGTTTTTTTGCTCTGCTCAGCGCGAACTCTCCCTGTTGCGAGGGCTTAAGTGTGTGTGTGTGTTTGTGTGTGTGTGTGTGTTTGTTTGGTGCTGTCAATGTTTGTGTATGTGTTTGAATGAGAGACAGTGTGGTGCTGTGTGTCTTTGTGTTTATACAGACAGCTTGTTATAGCCTCCCCTCTAAAATATAACACTGTATATGGAAAGCATCATCAATGCACCGTGATGCACCGAGATATCGAATTGAACCGAATCGAAGGCATGATAATCGTAACCGAACCAAACCGTAAGACCAGTATAGGTTCACACCTCTAATATATATATATATATATATATATATATATATATATATATATATATATATATATATATATATATATATATATATATATATACTGTCACTACAGCAAAAACAAAAGAATTTAGTTATTAGACATTGAAAATGTGCTGAATATTATTTTCTCTTTGTTAAAGTTTGATAAATATTTGATAAATATTTTTTTTTTTTGTTTGATAAATATTTTTAAAAGAATTAACATTTCAGAAAAGGGCTGATCATTTTGACTTCAACTGTATGTAGATGCAGACAGCAAAACTCTAGATTTTCCTTTTTTGTTTTGCAAAACAAAGAAAATCATGCAGATCTGGAACAATTTAAGGGTTGAGCAAACGATGACAGAATGTTCTATTTAGGATAAACCATTTCCCTTGGGAGTACTTATAGCAGAGCTTAATGAACCTTCTCATAACAAGAAAAGAAATCTGCTGTTCAACAGAATATAGAATAAGACTTCTTCTCGCAGTCTCATATTGTGTGTGATTTGCTCTCACCGGCTCTGGAGCTCTGTCAGGCTCTCTTCAGCGTGCTGCAGACTCTCCAGATCTTTCATCATCTGCGAGATGTGGATTTTAGATGACTTGTTTTGTATGTATGCAAACCAGCAGCCGCCCACACCGATGATGATGGAAATCATCAAAATAAAGTCCTTCAGCCAGTGATAGTGGTGACCTAGTGAGAAAAATAAAGTATTTATACCTGGACCGCTGACTCAGTGAGTATGTCATTTCAACCTGCTTTGGGAATGAGATTAGCCAACTCATTAAAGAGATGAATCTAAGACTGAATTTATCACATGTTTCTGTTAATTAACACTTACTTTAGCTTGTTTACACAGTCATTTTGCATTATGGGACCTTGATCCCAGCTCTGTCAACTTTCAATGTTGAAAATTGCAGTTCACAAAAATTATTTATATTGATATTTTAACCCTTTATATGGCTGTCATTAAAGACGTCAAAAAAACAACAACATTGGAGTTGGGCATTATTGCAAGGATTTTTTTTTACTTTTATGAATGAAAAAAAAAATTACAATTAATATATATATATATATAATTAAATAATTAAATTAATATACTAAATTCAAACAAAATATTCCCAAAAAATTACTAACTACATATTTCGGTCACACTTTACAATAAGGTTCATTAGTTAATGTTAATTAATGCATTAACTAACATGAACAAACAATGAGCAATACATTTACTACTGTATTTGTTCATGTTAGTTAACGTTAGTTAATGAAAATACAGTAGTTCATTGTTAGTTCATGTTAACTCATGGTGTATAAACTAATGTCAACAAGCATGGACTTGGATGTTAATAATGCATTAGTAAATGTTCAATTATGATTAATAAATGCTGTACATGTGTTGTTCATGATTACTTCATGTTAGTAAATGCATTAACTTATGAACCCTATTGTAAAGTCTTACCCAAATTTCAACTAAATTATTTTAATTGTTTGCTTTTCTTGATTTTTCTTCCCTTTAAAATTTGTATTTAATATTTTCCATAACATATACATTTGGGTGTACTAGTTTTTGTATCCTTAATCGTATGTTATTTTGTTAGATAAGCTCCACATTTGGCTTCAGTACTAACTAATGTATATGCACAAATATAATATTGTGTAGCTTCCAATTAAATATGAATTTAAAAGAGAGATTTGTGAGGGATGTACTTATACTGAGCCCTGTATATTGTAATCAATCTCAATGAAGTTACCATACATGTCAATACCACACCATAACACAGTGCTCATTGCACAGTGTTTTATACTATATTCCATTTAACAAAATAACTTAAGATGATGATGCAAAAACTAGTACTATGCCCCAATAATTATTTAAGGGGAAAATATTAAATACATTTTTTTTAAATATGAAAAACCAAGAACTGTTGAAAAATAAATTGATTAAAAACATTTTGCAACACCTAATACAATTTAAATGTAGTATATTTCTATTGCTAAACATGTTTAAATATGCGACCAAACTCTTCTTGTACTTATTTGTACTTATACTCCTAATGAATATAACTTTTTGTAATTGTCACTTGGCATGAAGCATAAATAGCCCTCACTTTAGATCTTTAGATTAGGTCACAAAACTGCATGAAGTTGTGTTAATGAACTATTTATTAATATACAAAGTAGCTATTTGTCTATGCCTGAAAATTATATATAAATATTGATTTTAATAGTTTAATAATCATTTACTAACTCATTCGGAATGATTTAAAAAAAACAACTACTCTTAAATAAAATGATTTGTAAATAATGCAATGCTTCATTTAGTCCTGAAAAATTAATCAGTAACAAATTATGAACTGTACAATTGTTAAGCAGATTTTAAATGTGTTTATAAGTCAAGAATAGAGGATTTGTATCTGCAGTTATAAACTGCCTACTAACATCTATTAATGTAGAGGTAATGCTTAACAAATAATGAATTTACTTTACACCAATGCTTATCAGATGATTCATAGTGTTTAGTTATTATAAAGTGTTACCACAAACTCATAAAAGAACAGAAAATGTTGTCATTTCTCTACAGCAATTTACATGACCAACCCAGACTCATTTCAGAATACTAAAAATGTCAATAAAAGTTTTAGGTTTGGGTTAAAGTCCCATACTGCTCTTTAAAAGTATAAATAAAAAGACATGTATAAAATAAGTATAAAAAACAACCATGAATATCAAACTTTTAATTAACTAATTCTTTTTATGCATTTATGTGATCAAAAATAGCAAAAACTGTAATTTTGTGAACTGTTATAGTTTCTTTAAAGATAACAACTATTTAATTTTGTTAAAACATGTTATGATACAAATACTGTAGCAAAAACATTAATATTGTAAAATATATTTTTTTAATAAAAAAAAATACTTCAATTGATAAAAATATTATTTATTCCTGTTATGACGAATCAGGATTTTCATTCGCATACAAGTCATTAATCCAGTTTACATTGTTATATAATGTGTCACCAATTTTGTGTTTAAGTAATACTTTCAATAAGTTATTATTATTATTATTATCATTATTATTATTAACATTATTATTATTATTATTATTATTATTATTATTAGTTATGATCAGAAGTCATCCTATGCTATTTAATACCATTTATAGAAACTGATCTATATATTTTAGGGGTTTTGTATGATTGAAAAATTCAAAAGTTTAATTGAACATTTTTTAACACAGTTAAATTTAACATTTTACTTTAAAGCAGCCTTGCATAATAAAAGTATTAATTTCCATCCAAAACAAGACATTTTACTGACCCCAATTGTCAGTGTAGTGCCTATTATACTGCTATGCTTTTTACCTCAAAAGCTTCCATTGCTGTCCATAGTGACAAAAGTTATTGTTACAATGAAGCAAAGTCACATGGGATTGATGCAGCAGAATACACTCACGTAGTGGAGGTCCAAAAAGCACTGCATCCAACGCTTTCAGGTTTAATTTCTGTTTATGTCGTTGGTCTAATATCTTTAGCTGCATTGACATAAACGCCGGTTCATTTGCTGCTATTCTGTAACAGAAAACAAGAGGAAGAAGTCATAATAGGTCACAAACTCTGCCTGTTTCCCCTAATGTCTCCTGCTTCATGATTCATAAGACAAAAAGTTTCTTTGATATTTAAAATGCAAAACACAATAAGGGTATCCAGTAAGCCTACAGGGGTAAACAGTTAAAGTCAAAATGATTGGCTCTTCTGTGAATTTAGTTTTCTTTCACGATTCCCAAATGATGTTTAACAAAGCAAGACATTTTTTTTACAGTGTTTCCTACACTGTAAAAAAAAAACTAATTTTACAGAAAATATCCCAAAATTTTTTACAGTCATTTTTTGTCATTTAAAATTATATGTAGAACTTAGTAAAAAGACAAACAATCTCTCTAAATTCACAGTTTGACTTTCATTTTTAGGTACTTTATCATTAAAGACAAATTACTGACATTTGTGTTTTTTATACAGGGAAATTACAGTATAATTTATACAGTATTTTTTCTGTTATTTTAAATAATATTCAAAAATCCCTAAAAATTACAAACAATATCTGTAAATTAACAGCTTGACTGGTATTTTATGTATTATATAAGTAACGACAAATTACAGCAATTTGTTTGTTTTATACAATGAAATTGCTGTATTATTTACACAGTGTATTTTCCTGTTTTTTATGAAGTACATTTAAAATTACGTAAAATTAAAGTAATAAATTGTAATTACTTGCTCTGTAAAAAAATTATAAAAAATCGTGAAAAAAAAAAAGGTCAAATGACTGGCAGCTACGGCTGCCAAACAAAAACCATAAAATTATGGTAAAATGTCTTTGTTGAAATAAAGTGCAAAAAATAATAAATCTACAGATATTTTCATTAAAATGTTTACAGAAAAACACTGTTATTTTACAGACTTTTCCTAGATTATTACGATCAAATCCGTTCAATAAAGTTACACACTAAGTGCGCTCACATGCACCTGTTCCGGATTCTGCTGATTGCACACACACAGTCGGAGGATCATTATGAACTGATTACATGCACTTTAAAAGCAGCATAGACCAATTGCTTAGTCTTGTTATACTGTTACTGTAAACTTTATGACGTGTTTCTTTTCTTTTGCCTTGCTTTGTTTGTTAATTGTTTACGTTGTTTGCTGCCGGGACTGACCATTTGCCTGTTATTTGACCATGACTCTGGATTGCCTGCATATTGTTACATCTGTTTGCCCCTGTGTTGACTGTTATTTGCCTGACCATCTCTGTGTAATAAACCTGCATTTGGATCTGCACTCCTTTATCAATGTCCCCTTCACGTTACAGTTCCATTTCATTTAAGATCTGTAACTGAATCATTCCATATAACTTAAACCTTTACATGTTTTACATAAACACTAACTAATAAAATGTAACAACTGTCATTTTAAAGTTGTAAGAATTTTAATCAGTTTTATCTCGTTTGTTGTTTTTTACAAAATTTTTTGATCCAAAATAAAACTGTTAAATTACGATCATGAGCATGTCTTGGCATTTTATTAAAGGTGTTTAATCGTAATGATTTAGGGAAAATTCTTTTAAATAACATTGTTTTCTCTTGAACTTTTAGTGCAGTCATTTTATTGATGGCATTTGATCATAATAATCTAGGAAAAGTCTGTATAATAACAGTGTTTCTTTGTAAAACTCTTAGTGTGTAACTTTATTGAACGTATTTGATCGTAATAATCTAGGAAAAGTCTGTAAAATAACAGTGTTTTTCTGTAAACATTTTAATGAAAATATCTGTAGATTTATTATTTTTTGCACTTTATTTTTATTTTTGTATAATATTTATTTGTTTATTTTTGGCCTGAATAAAAGCTGTTTTTAATTTTTTTCAAAACATATTAAGGTTAATATTAAACAATATTGGTTTTAAATTGTATACAAAACAACCCACTGTTATACAATGATTTACCTAATTACCCTAACTTGCCTAATTAACCTAGTTAAGCCTTTAAACATCACTTTAAGCTGTATAGAAGTGCCTTGAAAAATATCTAGTCAAATGTTATTTACTGTCATCATGATAACAATAAAATAAATCGGTTATTAGAGATGAGTTATTAAAATATTATGATTAGAAATGTGTTGACAAAAATCTTTCTGTTAAATAGAAATTGAGGAAGAAACGTACAGGAGGGCTAATGATTCCGACTTCAACTGTATGTGCAGCACTATCCTATAACCGTGAAATCAATTGGTATGTATAGAAGTCTGTGTGACTGCATGTTTGTGTGTGTGTGCGTGTGTCTATGTGTGTGTGTGAATGGCAAGTTCAAGCTCAAAGAACTAATTTTAAGAAGTGCGTACTAGATGACTGAACGATCACATGTGCTGCCACACACACACATACTGGGCATAGCTGCAGGTGAAAGGTGATCTGGTGCTGTGACATCATTTCATGAGTCATGGAGAAGTGGCCATGAGGGGAAACTCGACACCTTAAACCTTTCTTTACCCCTCACTCATGCACGTCCCCACTGTCTGTGCACTGACACAGCAGCGCCACTAGGGGGAGGTGCTGCTGTTAAAACCCATGCGTTGAAGTATATAATAACAGTGTTAAAGGGGTATTTCCCTCAAAAATTAAAATTCTGTCATATTTACTCATCCTTCACTTGTTTTTGCAGAAAGCTGGAAACATGTAACCATTGACTTTATTTGTTTTTTTTTCCCACTGCGCAAATCAGTATTTTCATGGTTCATACACATTTTTACTACTAAAATTCCATGACTTTTCCAAGACTTTTTCAGAACTTTCAAGTACATTTTCATGACATAATGTTTCATGTAATGTCTACATATACACGATAAATACTAAGAAAAAAAATAACATTTAAATTTATCACAGCATATTATAGAATGCATTTATCTATTTTATTTACATTTGTTTTATATCTATGTACAATTTTAATAATGCTTACACAGCACTAACAATGTGAGAGCAGGTTTTAGGCCAAGGGCAGGAAAAAAGTAAAGACAACGAACCTATATTCAAGTTGGGGCTGCACAATATATTGTTTCAGCATCGATCTCACAATGTAAGCAACCGCAATAGTCACATCGCAGGATATGCAATGCTGGGATTATAGTTTATTATAAAGTTTAATAATAATGGAGTAAAAGTTTATCATCTGCATGCATTTTTAAAGCGATAGTTCTCCCCAAAATTAGCATTTTTATTACACCCTTCACTTGTTTCAAACATTTATGAGTTTGCTTTGTTTTCAAATGAAAACAAAAATAACCTAATTTAAAAAATGATCATAGTATTAAAACAAGTGAAGTGTGAGTAAATAGTGAGTACATTAATCTTTGAATATACTGTCCCTTTAAGGCCTGTGACTGTGTGAACATTTCTATATTTTAAATTTTAAAACATTTATCTACAAGAAATAAAAAATTAATAAAGCTTAAATAAGATACAATAAGACTATGCACTGGTGATTATTCAATATTTGTACCTGAATAGTCAATACCTAAAAACTTTATCTTTGCTATATTTTATTTAAAGATATTTGTAATTCATTTGTTATATATTATTCGAGATTCACTCCTTGACCAAATCCCCCCAATCAATCTAAATAGAGCTGTTAAATCAGCTGGTGAAATTGTATTGACATCCCAATATACATCACAGAAATAAAAAACATGGTAATGTCAGATTTTTCCAATAACGTGCAGCCCTAATTCAACTATGCAGATGTTTGTTAAACTAATTTAAATGATTTTTCCAAAACTTTGTGAATTATTCTGTTTTTCCAAAACATTTTCAGGCCTGGAAAAGGCCATTTCAAAATTCCATGACTTTTCCATATTTTCCATGATTGTATGAACCCTGATAGTTTCAGGTTTCAAACATACTTCAAAATATCTTCTTTTGTGTTCAACACAAGTGGAAGGTGATGAAATGATGATTTCTTTAGCTACATTAAATTGGTAGAACCTGTGCATTGTAATGTGATGTGTACTTACAGTGTATTTACATCAGTGATAAAATAAGGTAACAACTAGGGTCAATGTTAGGTTCTGAGATAGTTTTAGACATTGTATATTGTTAATACATGAGATGATAATGTTAAGTGTATAGTATGTAAAAGTGAAACAGGACTGTAAATGAAAGTGCTACCAGAACAGTACGCTTAGGGACAGTACCTAGTTTTTATGTGATGACTGATAAGTATGTTCTACCAGTAAAACAGGACTTAATAAAGTGCTACCATAAAATTATCAACAAACACTTAACATTTTAGAGTTTCAATTCCTTAGTAGGTTTTAACACACTTCTTCATAATAAATGTCACAAAAAAACTGTTAGAAGGTTAAGGAGTAGAAAACAAAATGAAAATGACCTCTTCACCCTCTTTACACCTTTATGAGTTTCTTTCTGTTGAACACAAAAGATATTTTGAAGAATGATGGTTGCTGAGACTTATACAAATAAGTATAAAATTCTTACAAATTACTATGAAAAAAATGGGTCAAAGCAAACAGCATTTCTCAGAATATCTTCTTTGTGTTAAACTCGAGATATTCATAAAACATTTGAACAATTGGAGGTTGGTTAAATCATGGCAGAATTATAACTTTTGGGTGAATTATCCATTAAGTCAATGGAAAAGTCCTTGACGTGTGTGCATTTACCGAGGTAGCGTGTTGCCATCTACTTTAAACTCTCTGAAGTTTCTTTCATACTGAGGAAGCTCCACGGACTCTTTCAGCCACTCCACTACATCCTCTAGTGTCCAGTTGTGCACTGACCAGGAAAAAGAGAGAAAGTGTTAAGACACGTTGGGCATGCTTATAAATATGTAACACCTTAACACACAAAAGTCAAAACAGATGTTTCATGAGATCAAAATTTCAGTATTTCGATATTTTGCCTTTGTTGTATGTACACTGTAAAAAAAATCCATAATTTTACTGTTTATTTCCAGCAGCTGGGGTGAATATAACGGTAAGATGACAGCCGTTAAATTACAGAAATTTACTGTAAAATAACAGATGTAGAATTACAGAACTTTTAATTGCCAGAAATTTTAATTGAAAGAAATTTTTGTAATTTAATGTCTGCTATTTTACGGTACATTTCTGTAATTTAACAGTCGTTATTTTACTGTTACATTCACCCCAGCTGCCGCAAATAAACCATTAAATTATGGATTTTTTAACAGTGTAGATTAGCGAAATAACTCACATAAGACAGAACATTATTTTTCATATGTTTGAGGCCACACTGATAATGTAAAATCTGGCTGAAACATCAAATAATAATAATAATAATAATAATAATAATAATAATAATAATAATAATAATAATAGTAATAATAAAAATAGCAAAATGATTATAGATTCTGGTCACGAAAAATAAATTGTGAAATCAATTCTCACTTTGTACAGATGTCAAGTAGTCTTGTGTTAAATATCAGCATGCTCTGTGGATCATCTCAAATTTTTCTAGATAACACTCACAACAAATTCATGTTAGTTTGTGAAGCTCTAGTGCTGTTGCCATTGTCTACCTGGCCCTAATCCAAGGTGTTTATAATTTTATTTTATTTTATTTTAATGTATTTTATTTTGAATATATTTATTTTATTGTATTTGATTTTATACCCATTGTGCCACTGTATCGCTCTTTATTTAAATTAATTTAATTATTTTTTGCCCACATGTGACTCATTCAGAATATGTTGTTCTCATGACAGTGTGAACTACTGTAGGGCTGTGTAAAGCAATAATATATTAAATATGTGATAGCATGTGATATTCAGTACATTCATTCATTTTCTTTTCGGCTTAGTCCCTTTATTAAACAGGAGTTGCCACAGCGGAATGAACCGCCAACTATTCCAGCATATGTTTTACGCAGCGGATGCCCTTCCAGCTGCAACCCATCACTGGGAAACATCCATTCACTCTTATTCACACACATACACTTGGGACAATTTAGCTTACCCATTTCCCCTATACCACATATCTTTGGACTTGTGGGGGAAACCCGAGCACCCGAAGGAAATACACGTCATCAATGGGAGTACATGCAAACTCCATACAGAAATTCTAACTGACCCAGCCCAGGCTCGAACCAGTGACCTTCTTGGTATGAGGCGATCGTGCTACCCACTGCACCACTGTGATGCCTGATATTCAATACTATATATCTTATTATTTGTTATAACCAACATAACCGTTTCATGCTATTTCAGAGAATAAAAAGCATCGCTGCAACTTCTGGCCAGTGAAATTTAACAGTGTAAATATTGACAGTGTTCCTCAGTTTAAGCCTAATAACAATTTCCTTGACATTCAATGACTGAAAAGCTGTATTTTAATTACATCTAATAAATGTAAGCAAAGGCAGCTGTTGTGCTTATATATTATTGATAAAACATAAAAAAAAGTAAAACTAATATTAAATTGGTTTTAGCTTGCTATAGACCAATGTGAGGCATACAAACAATAACAATGGTCCTAATCATAATGTATTTCTTGTTTAACATTTTTTTTTTAATTTCCATAGCTTCTGAGAATCCAAAAAGGTCCACAAATTAATACATAATGTTATGAGAGCTGTTTTAACATGAAAATATGATTGAACTGTCTCTTGTTACAGTTATGAAATAGTTTGATAACAAGCAGGAAATGTTTATGGGTCAATGACATTACCACATTGAAATGGTCTATACATATACAGAAGTCAACATTTGATGTGGATCATCACCTTTCATCAGAGTTGTCCTAAGACTTTTGAACAATGTCCATTCTTGTTGTTGGGACAATTTAAAAAAAAAAATTTCGATCCACATTAAATGTTGACAACTGTATATATAGTTGAAGTCAGAATTATTAGCCCCCTTTGAAATTATTTTTCTTTTTTAAATATTTCCCATATGATGTTTAACAGAGCAAGGAAAGTTTCACAGTATGTCTGATAATATGTTTTTCTTCTGGAGAAAGTCTTATTTGTTTAATTTCAGTTAGAATAAAACCAGTTTTTAATTTTTAAAAAATTCAAAATTATTAGCCTTTTTAAGCTGTATTTTTGTTCGATAGTTTACAGAACAACCCATCGTTATATAATAACTTGCCTAACTACCCTAAACTGCCTGGTTAACCCAATTAACCTAGTTAAGCCTTTACATTTCACTTTAAGCTGTATGGAAGTGTCTTGAAAAATATCTAGTCAAATATTATGAGCTGTCATCATGGCAAAGATAAAATAAATCAGTTAGTAGAAATGAGTTATTAAAACTATTATGTTTATAACTGTTTTAAAAAAAAAATCTGCTCAGGACTAATCATTCTGACTTCAAAAGTACATCAGATATGATCCTGTCACACATTATTAAAGGTATATTTTTCATGTTTTTGTCCTATCCTGTTGTAGCATTAATATGCAACAAACGTTAGAAGGTTATATTTTACAAACAGCATGTCCTTACAAGACACGATGTGATAGTATTCCAGAAATAAGCAATCTGTCTGTTCATACCAGACGTGATACGGCAAATCAATCAAAAATCAAAGCTAATCATGAGGGCACATGGAGCTCTTTCTGCTAGTGCATTAAATCAGTTCAAACGATTCTATAATAACACATTAGGAGACCAATGCAACCTTTGTCACAATTTTAACATTTGTATTTGCTTTACTTGCCAGATCTAAAGTGAATTATTAATTTTATCTTATTTTTACATATAAAATAAAAAAGGTTTCACAAGTGGCCCTATGTTTCCAGATGTCAGAGTACAGTGTGTTCTCTCAGCTTGTCATTATATGAAAAGCGTGGACTCAAACAAGTGTTGCACACTTGGCTATCCACCACAATGAAATGAATTGCTTTTGTGAACAAATCCAATGCTGCTCATATTTCAGGGACTCTACCATTATATTTCGTACTCCCGCTGAAATGAAATCAGACCCAAACAACAGTGTGCATTTGCTGTGTAATATCTGCACAACAGAGCAAGCCAGTGTGTCTCAGATTTCATCTCAGAGCCTCAACAGTGTGTGAAGCTGTAAGTTGCCATCACTTTATATAAAAATCTCAATGGGAAACATACAATCATTGTTTAGACCTGTGTGTGTAAGCCTAGTCAATGACATTTATTCATTCAATTATTCATTTAATTATTCATTCAATTATTCATTCATTCACTCATTCGTTCATTCATTCATTTAGCTTTAGCTTAGTCCCTTTATTCATCAGGGGTCACTTCAGTGAGATGAACCACCAAATTATCCAGCATAGTTTTTACATAGCAGATGCCCTTCCAGCTGCTACTCTACTGGGAAACAGTTCAAACAATTCAATGACATGTTTTTATTTTACATACAAATTTTATAGAATATTAACGTTTTCTTTTTTTCCCTTTTTTTTTCTTTCTGTTGAGTTTCACTAACATCAACACCTACCCAAATCCCAAACCCAACCTCACAGTATCCTATTGTGTTTTTTTAATGTCTATACCTAGAGTGCATCCAGAATGTATTCATAGCACTGCACTTTTTCCACATTTTTTGTTTCAGTCTTATTCCAAAATGTATTCAATTAATTTATTTCCTCAAAATTCTACACACAGTACCCCATAATGACAATGTGAAAAAAAGAGTTATTTTGAAATTTTTGCAAATTTAATCAAAATAAAAAAGAAAAATCAGATGTAAATCACTATTCACAGGCTTTGCCGTAAAGCTCTAAATTGAGCTCAGGCACATTCTGTTTCCACTGATCATTTTTGAGATGCAGCAGCTTAATTGGAGTTCACCTGTGGTCAATTCAGTTAATTGGACATGATTTGAAAAGGCATACATTTATCTATATAAGGTCCCAGGGTTGACAGTGCATGTCAAAGCACAACCAAGCATGAAGACAAAGGAATTGTCTGTAAACCTCTGAGACAGGATTGTCTCGAGGCACAAGGATTCCATATCCGGGACCAGGCCATATCCTGAGCTGCTGCTGCGCTGATTGTCGTGGGGAGTGGAGAACATGTGTCTGATTCCAGCGACGCTCCAGGGACAGACAAGTCTTCGCTGAGGCCAGCTTCCAGCCTCCACCACGGCGACTGAAGCCCTGCACAAGACTTTTGGCCAGCGGAGAAATTAAAATGGTCGTGCCCAACTGAGTCTGGTTCTCTCAAGGTTTTTTTTCTTCACTCCCATCAGGTGAAGTTTTTTTCCCTCTCCGCTGTCGCCACTGTCTCGCATGGTTCAGGATTGGTAGAGCTACGCATCGATGAATTTGCTCTTCAGTGTTTGAACTCTCAGTAATGATTAAATCACACTGAACTGAGCTAAACTGAACTGAACTGAACTTAAACACTAAAAAACTGAACTACACTGTTCCAGTTCCTATGACTATTTATGTGAAGCTGCTTTGACACAATCTACATTGTAAAAGCGCTATACAAATAAAGCTGAATTGAATAGAATTGAACAAGGCTGGGGAGGGTTACAGAAAAAACTTCTGCTGCTCTGAAAGTTCCAATAAGCACAGTGGCCTCCATCATCCACAAATGGAAGATGTTTGGAACCACCAGGACTCTTCCTAGAGCTGGCCGGCTATCTAAGCTGAGTGATCGGGGGAGAAGGGCCTTAGTCAGGGAGGTGATCAATAACCCGTCGGTCACTCTGAAGAATAGACAAAAGTTCCCAAAGACAGGTGTGCCAAGCTTGTGGCGTCAAATTCAAAAAAGACTTGAGGCTGTCAAAGGTGCCAAAGGTGCATCAACAAATTATTGAGCAAAGGCTGTGAACAGTAACCTGTTGTGTTTTATTAACGTGTACACTGACACTAACCATAAACTCAACCTCACAGTAACCTGTTGTGTTTTATTAACATGTACACTGACACCAACCCTAAACCCAACCTTACAGTAACCAGTTGTTTTACTAATGTCTACACCTGCACCAACCCTAAACCCAACCCAGCTTTTTAAGGCCTACAACAAACTCCAATATATTATTTCTTATCATTTATTCTTTCACTTATTTCAAAGTCTTTTCTGCCCTCATGTGGCAATAACTCCTAAAAACAACAAATTCCTTATTTTTGTGCAACTTGGCAAATAAAGCTCATTCTGATTCTTCCTGGATTTGAGACATCACTACACTGTAAAAAATGCAGGGCTGCACACAATTCATTTATATTGTCCCAACACAAATACATTATGTTAACATAACTGATTTAAGTAGATTGAAAATAAAACTAGGGCTGTGTGATTTGGGGAAATATCTTGTTGCAATTTTTTAACAGATGTTGCGATATCGACTTCGATTTGATTTGCTATTTAATTTTGATTTTATTTTATTTTTTTTAATTTTTAAAATGCAGTGGGTGTAGGTAAAAAAGGAAGTGAAAACATTAACTTACGTAAACATTTATTCAAATCCCAACCTCAAGTTTAATTTTGTGTAAACTTTCCCTTTAATGAATTTAATTCAATACTTAAAGAACTTTCATGTGTATACTAGCTTTGGATGCATGCTGCTCAGTAATTTCAAACAATTTCACCTTTCAATTGTTTGCTTGTTAATAATGAATCTGTCCTTCTATGTAAAATTCATCTATTGTGGTATAAACCGCAGCATCTCTACACATTAAGTCTTTACCTTCTGATATTTTCCAGCCCCTCCATAGCTCCTCCACCGTGATGTGCTGGTCCTCTCGGTGGAGATTACTGTGTTTATTGGTCTGGTGCTGCTTCATGTCCTCTATGATAAACTGCAGAAGAACCACAGCATAACATTAATGCTCAAACCACAGGAAAATGACTGGCTTCATGGTACAAGTGACTCTATCAGAGCATCCGATGCTTTCAAATATACTTTTCAAAATTATGCAAATATTTTTAATGCAACAAATACTATCAGATCTTTTGCCATATGTGTCATATTTCAGCAGATGCTTATAAGCAAAGCAAAGTGATTAGTCATAATGAGTGAACAACATGTGAATACAACGATACAGTTTTAAAAAAGTAGGCTGAAGAATGCATGACTAGAGGAGAATTTATTGTGCAATAAAGCTGTTAGAACATGACAAGCGCTCTAGATAAGTGTGAAGCTCTCTATGGCCATGTCTGTGTCAACTCTTTATCGCTCTGTGGTTTTGCATGTGTGTTTGCTCAGTGCACATGCATGCCTAAAACGTTCTATTCTGTTTATGAATTATGTTTATATGCTCACGGGCTCATACCAACAAACGTGGGACAGGACATCTTTAAAGTCCTGTAGGTTTATTTAGCAACACCCTCTCACACACACACTCACACACACACTCAGGAATCTGCTGTGTCCTGTAAGAGGACACCATCTTCCAGTGGCTGTAAGAAGGAGAAATTCTTGGGCCTCTTCTTGAAACACTTCTGGATCCCAGAAGCACCTGCCATGACCAGAAACAATCCTTCCCAAAACACACGTCACGTCCTCAGAAACCACACACTTATATACCAGAAGCCCTATTTAAAGTCAAACGACGAGCTGAGTAGAAAAAAAACATAGGAAGGAAAAAAATTATCTTTATTTACAATCTTGAAAATTGATGTGTGTTTGTGTGGACAAACCCTAAAGCTTCTTTTACTGCATGCACAGTTATGATTATTTTATATAACAGAATACAGTGCTTAGCATATTTAAGTACACCCCACATAAATCTCTATTTTAAATACATATTTTATTAGGAAGCTATATAATATTTTATGTGTGCATATACATTAGATTAGTCAGTACTGAAGCCAAATCTGGAGCTTATCCAACAAAATAAGTTACGGTAACGGTCCAAACACTAGTTAAGCCAAATTTATATGTTATAGAAAAATATTAATTACGAATTTAAAAAGAGGAAAAATCAAGAGAAGCAAAAAAAAAAAAAAAAACTAAATTTTTTGTTGAAATTTTGTAGGTTGTAATTTTTTTTTTCAATATTTAGCTTGAATTTAATAATCTGGAATGGCAAAAAAAGCGTTCTTGCAGGACTCCCAGAGTTCATCAAGATTCTTTGGATTCTCCTCCTCCTCTTTCATTTTACCCTAGACATGCTCAATAATGTTCATGTCTGGTGACTGGGCTGGCCAATCCTGGAGCACTTTGACATTCTTTGCTTTCAGGAGCTTTGATGTGGAGGCTGAAGTATGAGAAGGAGCGCTATCCTGCTGAAGAATTTGCCTCTCCTGTGGTTTGTAATGTAATGGGCAGCACAAAATTCTTGTTAATTCAGGCTGTTGATGTTGTTTTCCACTCTGCAGATCTCTTACACACGCCCATACTGAATGTAACCCCAAACCATGATTTCTCCTTCACCAAGCTACTTCGATTTCTGTGAGAATCTTGGCTCCATGCAGGTTCCAGTAGGTCTTCTGCAGTATTGGTAATGATTGGGATGCAGTTCAACAGATGATTCAGCACAGAAATGTATTATTTGTTGTTAATATTTGTTGCTCTTACAACTGGGATCGACAACGAGACTTTTGTCAGATGATGTACATATATGCTTTATGAGGATAGACACAATGTATTTAATACAGAGAAAATATACATTTATATATGGCCTTCACGCAACCCTCAGAGAAAGCCAGTGGCTTAATATGAATGTAGAAAAAAAAAGTTAAGTATGATTTTTAAGTGCTTTAAATTATGAAGAATTATGTTCCTCATAAACAACCTTAACAGAGTACAGCTAGGCCATATCCGTGTTATTACAATTAAGTAAAGTTTATTCATAAACTAATTTCGAGAGGATCACGTGCTTATGATTGACACGGCTGGCCCCGAGTCAAGCTAATGTACGAACCACCAATCAGACTATTCCTAACAAAGTATAAATAACCAAACACCTTACCTTTAGTCATCTTCGTCTTGAAGAATCCCCCCTTCCACCCCTTCTCCTCCTCTTTTGTCTACAGAGTAGCACAGCGGCCCAGTGGCTAGCACTGCGGCCTCACAGCAAAATGCCTCCGGTTCGGGCATCTACCCAAACGGTCAGCATTTTGTGTGAAGTTCATGTTCTCCCCGTGCTTGCGTGGGTTTTCCCCGGGTCCTCCGGTTTCCTCCCACACTCCCAAAAACATGACACTTAAGTAAATTGACTAAACCAAATTAGCACCAAATTCGATTCAATTCTGTCAGCAACGCATCACCTTAGCAACCCTCATGCAGCAGGAGGGGAGGGGGGAGGGGTTCTCGAGATCTACCCGAGCTCAAACTCCGCTCTCGCCCTGCAACGGGAGGGAGCCTCGGGCTCGAGGCTTTAATGAGCTCGGGGCTCTCTCCCGGGACAGCATGCCAGACTAGCTTATTACCAATCATCAGCTAAGTGTGAACTCTTGAAACAATGTCCTCGTAAACCTTGCAACCTGCTCTTTTTATGACTGGGGGCATTTGAACTATTCAAAAATAGACTGAGTTTAGTTAAATAACACAAATGCATAATTATATAGTCTATAAAATGGCTAATAATGAAGAATAATTACGACAAACCCTTTATCAACATGTATCCTATACAGATTTTAAATTGAAAGTTTAAATTGAATAAATATTAACATTACTAAAGTTGTATTTACTCTTTGTTAATTCATGTGTGTTACCAATGTTTCAAATGTTACACTTAGGTGAGGATTGATTATAAAGTTTGTTTGGCATGCTGTCCCGGGAGAGAGCCCTGAACTCATAAGATCCTCGAGCCTGGGGCTCTCTCCCATTTGCAAGGTGAGAGAGGAGTTTGAGCTCAGGTAAATCTCGAGAACTCCCCTGCGGTCGTGGCTAATGAACAGATAGTGATTGCTCTTAAGCGATAACTACTTAGGAGTATGTCTATGGTGCCAATTTGGATTAGTCAATTAACTTAAGTTATACTGTTTTGTGGGAGGAAACTAGGGAACCCAGGGAAAACCCACGTGAGCACGGAAGGAATGTGTAAACTCCGCATAAAAACATGGGCTGGCTTGGTAAGGACTAGAACCAGAGACGTTCTTGCTGTGAGGCAACAGTGCTAACCACCCATCTAGGAAAAGAGGAGGAATAGGGGTGGAAGGGGGGATTCTTCAAAACGAAGATGGGTGTCAAATGGAGCTTAGGGTATTTTAGTGGTTTAGGAATCGTCTGATTGATGAATCATAAATTGAATATTGTGTGGCCGGCTGCATGCAGTCATAAGCATGTGATCCTCTCAAAATTAGTTTATAAATAAACTTCACTTATAGCAATGCACTTTTAGCATTTAAATGTTGTATAAAATTAATTTGCTACTTTTAAGCTTCTTGTTAATTTGTGTATATTACATTCAATTATCTTAAACGTAAAATGTAAAACAAAATATATTAAAAAAAGAATATTCATACAAACCTTTTTCAATATTTAAACCTTATTCATATGCTAATACACATTGGTTCATAAGACAATAAATGTACAATGTATAAAACAAGAATATTTATAATATAATTAAAAATCTACTTAATGTTAATTTATAAATGCTGTAAAAATACATTACTTGTTCATAAAAAATAGTTAATAGATAGTTACTACACGAAAAATGTGAATTAAATTATACATTGCTAAAACTTTAAATATTTTAATTCCACAACAATATGTTAGAACAAAATAATTCACCTATATGCACTGTTTCTGTGTGTGCATGTGTGGTGTGTGCATGTGTGTGAGACAAAATGGCAATTAACAAGCATAAATCATGTCACGGTCGTGATTATATTTAACTGGCACAGAATGTGTCGAATGTTTAGATCACGTTTAGGAAGCCATGCATATCCATGTAACATTATAAGACTTTTTTTATACCTTTAAATCTAATTATATACAAGCCCTGCATGAATATGCATGGAGCTTTGATCACGTGTATACACCAACACACATACACACACAGTAATATAGTATCCCAATGGGAGAAGTACTCATATGTCAATGGTCTCTCCTTGCAAGCAAAAACCAATGTCAACTTTGCCCTTTGAGGTCTCTGGAAGACTTAAGCTCGACTGACCTGTTTTTAAGCCCCTCCGACCCCTACACAAAATGCATGTACATAAACAGACACATAACACCACATTCGATTCTATTAAATTAGATTAAGGTAAAACAAATTAGGTTTTGCTCACCTCCACGCTCTCATTCACTTCAATGGCTCCATCATTATCATCATCAAGCTGCTTGTGAATGTGCCGAAGCGCCTCTAAACTGAAGCGATCAGCTTCATTCGTACATGGAGGCATGACTGCTGAACATGGGTCTGCAAAAAGAAAAGCACAATTAACCTTTATACAAATATACAAAAGACTCATCAATAAGCTCCTCTGCTTGCTGATGCGCCAATGTCTGTTGAGTATCAGGTGAACATGGTCAAGGGCCTGTGTTTATGAAAATTCTTAATGCAAAGAGGTGCTCCTCCTGACAAAACTTGAGGAAATTTGTAACTAAATTCTAGCGACAAGCCATTTGGCTTTCCGCACCAAATGTGATATGACATGGCAGAAACGTTTACATTCGAGTCATTCACTTAATTACCAGCCACCACTCTCAACAGGATTTATGGGTTAATGGTTTATGGTAAGGGTTATGATCCAATTATTACATATTAAACCTATTTAACATTATTAAAAGTACATAGGCCGTGTGACTGATGCTTGTTGGTTTGCACTGTCCCAGTTCTGACTTTCATAATTCAGTTATTTTATTTTCAAGATCTGATGTCAAATATCTGCTGGTGCATTCAGTATGGCTATAAATGTCATGTAAAATGGTATATAAACTCACATTGGTAGCATTTAACACCGAATAATGCACATAAACAGTACCTGAGGTAATCATTGTCGTGGTTTATGCAGTTATTCTGCCACAATGTCGCAGAAATAGAAAGCATTTCTAAAATAGAAATTTTGCATGTTGCCTTCAAGAATGGATAGGACCAAAACTCCTTTTAACATAGAAAGATACTTTTAGTATGTGTGGTGGCATGTGTAGTTAAAACTGGGTTAGAAAAAAGGGTATTTCCACTTCAAATTAAGGAGGAAATTGAAAGGATTCCTACTTTTTAGTAACATAAATGTTAATCATGAAAAATCATAACCCTTAATAGTTTAACCCTTATTTCTGGCTGTTTGCACACCAGTCTCTGCAACGTGGGTATCATAAATAAACTTGAATTACCAGTTTGTATTTCTTTAATCTGGAGCATTGACATAACATTCACAAACAGCATTACAATAGCATTGCATCTGCAAAACTTTTCTTCTCTTCCTTTTTTTTCTCCCGCGCCTCCCTTAAAGGAGCCATAGCAGAACAACAACTTTCTCAACTAACACATGTTAAACCTTGTATCAGACATATTGAAAGTAAATAGAAAATCTTTCTAAGTAGATTTAATAAAATTTTTTACACTTAAGTAATAATAAACACAATATAAATTAAAATAATTATTAAACTATACGGTTACAATAGTGTTCATAAGGTCAGAAAGTGTTAGGAGTAAGGAAGATGACTTTGAAATTATAATATAAATGATTAAATGGCCAAAGGCCTAAAAGGGATGGTACTCAAGGCAATACTGCTGGGCAATATAACAGAGCTGCCTGGCTACTTTCTTAAGAACGAGTAACGAAATAATGAAAATAAAATCCAATTGCCCTAGTTAGTTGACTGACGTATTACAAACTGAAGTGTGTGCATAAGGAGACATACTAAATATGGTACATTGAATGAGTTGTATGAGATGCTTTGTTCGTAAATGTTGTATTATATTTTCTATGTACACTGAACAAACATCAATCATGTGATGACCATTCAGAAACATAAATGATAAGCTGCAGCTTCTAGTTTGCTATTAGCACTGAAGTATTCGGTAGTGGTCGGCAGAGAGAGAGGCCTCATGGAACACTGAAACAGTCGAAGCAAATGTGTCAGAGCTTCGAAACGTTTCAAAACCTGTATCTACAGTGACACCTAGTGGTCATTTTTTATTCAGCTTCTGCAAAGAAACAGTTTAGCAAATTGAGGTATTATACTCCACATTGTAGAGTTGAGGTTTCAAGTGATTTATTGAAGCGGTGAGACTTTGGAATGAACACTTTGTGAATAACTATTTTTAAATTATTAAAATACATCAAGTCACAATTTTAGAGTATTTCGGAATTCGAAATCAGGGCATTTGCAGCACAATTACATTGCGCACACACGGTCTACTAGGCTACATGAGATAGAGCTTTTTTTAAAGCTTTAAATCGCTTTAGTCACGTGACTGGGTGTTTCGAAACACTTTGGTCACCTGACCTGAGTGTTTCAATTCTAAACACTAGCGCTTCAGCATCTCGACACTGTCGAAACATCAGTTTCACATCAGCCATCCCTAGTATTCAGAGCCTAAACAGCACAAGTATTGTTAACAGTAGCGTTTGTCCTGAAATTTATTGGTAGCTGAATATTAATGCAATCACGTACCATTCCAAAACAATGCTGGATCTCTTTAACTGGGGGAGATAAGCACAAATAAGGTACTGTAACTCTCCATTAAACAGAGAGAGAAAGAAGCTTTTGTTTTCATGCTGACTTATGGTTTTGTTGTTCCATGTTAAATGTCCTTCTTGTCAACAAAAAATTGTGATTAGATCCAGTTGCCCTAATTAGTTGACTGAAGTATTACAAACTGAAGTTTGTGCATGGAACTAAATATGGAACATTGCTTGAGTTGAATGAAGGGTTTTGTTAGTAATTGTTAAATTATATGTCTCATTTACACTGAACAAACATCAGTCAAGTGATGACATCATTCATAAAGATAAATGCAACCCAGGCTCATTCTGAAAATGTACCGCTCTATACATTTCTAGAGAGTGCCAAATATTTTTGCCATTTTTTTGTTTTCGCAAATCCACCAGAGGCCACACTGTACACTTTTTCAGATCTCAAATTTCTCTCCCGAGTGCCATTTGCTCCTGCCGTTCACGCATAAGTTCATTAGAGGCTGCTGTCAACTGACTAACTGAATGACTGACTGACCAATCAACCTGCCCTCTTTCTGGAACCATTCTTTGCTGGACTCGAACCATGTCATTGTGGTCAACACCTCTCTGTGTCTCAAGTCCGCCGACGTATATGGCGAAGCTACTGCTAACAGCAGAAAAGCCATCCATGTGGAGGTAAGTGGTCATCTGGTAAGGATTGGGATCATACCGCCCAGTGTTCATTTTAAAGACAAAATGCAGCCATACGTACCTCTGGCTACATAATTTGTGACCAGAATCTGAACAGAATCTGTAGATGTTTTGCTATTTTAGCAGAGAATTTTGGTAAAAATCTGCAGATTTCTGTGGAATTATTTTGGAAATATCATAACTACAACCTTAATTTGTGAAATAAAAATGATATCTTTTTAACTTGTATTTAATATTTAAAATGCAAATCCAATTAGATCCACTTTATTTGGTAAAAAGGCAAGTCTCCCATATAATATGCCTAAAAGACAGAAAATATTACTGTACAAACGGCATGGTACATAAATCAGATGAACATTGTCATGTTAGTCAATAATAATACTGTAAAAAAACTTAATAAATACAGATTTTCACACATTTACTCAAGTAAATAAAACAGAATTATTGATGGGCTAAAAATCTGCGGAAAATCAGCAGAATTCTGCGTGCACAGATTCCGTGTGGGCCTACTAATAAGGTAACCCTCCATTAAAGAGAGTAAGAAAGAAGATTTTTGGCTTTTGTTTCCATTGTGACTTATAGTTTTGTTCTATTTAAATGCCCTTTGTCTTTATAGTACCATACACTGGGTTAACTTACCCCTGATGTTCCGGTATTGACATTCACATGGACTAAACAGATTTATCAATCCAAAGCTCAAGGTTTAACAGATGGTAAGATAACTTTACTTTCAAACAGAATGTACATTTGGGCGGCATGATAGCTCAATGGTTAGCATCAGAATTGGTGCTCAATATCGGCGGTCACCATGACAACCAATCGGTCGGTATCGGCCCCAAAAATCCTGATCTGAGCATCCCTAATGTATACACGAACCTACACATATATTTATATAAATAAACATGGTGACCTCTAATAAATAAGGGACTAAGCCGAAGGAAAATGAATGAATGAATGTATACATTTGTTCTAGGTAAGCAGCAATAATTTTAAGCCTGTTAATGTCACCTAAAAAGCTATTTAATTGCAATTATTATGTAGTAAAAGTGCTTCTGCCTTGGCTAAGAAGCACTAAGCCTAGCTAGCTAAACTAAACTTTGCTACCAGCAAAGTGAGTTAAGTGTAAATGAATTGAATCTGTACTCCTTTGCTTCCTCATGTATCATGTTATTCGCCATTTAGTCAAAGTACTTTATATACTCGTCTATGGCATATTTAAATCCCACTAGAATGCTGCTGGAGGTGGTATTTTTCCATCCAAAAATGTAGCAAAAACATCTTGGGACAAGGTTTTCAAAGTGACCACCCTCACTGTAAGACAGTTAGCAACTACGCTTGTTTGTCCAAGTTAGCAGCATAATTAGGAAGGGCAGGGCTTACCAGCAGGTATGTCAAACTCAGCTGCTTTACATTCCAAGTTATACTGCATACACTATCCAGACAATTTATCATATGGCTATTTATGCTAATTTCCTTGATCTCAAGGAGTAGAGCATGGCGCTAGCAACGCCAAGGTCATGAGTTTGAGTTTCAAAACTGATCAAATGTAAACCTTCAGTGATAGTGACTTTGCCATTACATTTTCAATCCTTAAATGCCTACGTCAACAGGACTTCGTACTGATGATGAATACATAATACTAATATTACTCATCAAGTTTTTAATCCCGCCTAACTGTGTGTATGTGTGAGCATGAGCATGTCTGGGCATCTGTAGGGCTCTGTTTACAGCACTGTGCTTTCACCGCTCTTGACACGCTTATTGGGTTGCAGGCTGTTGATATGGCAAATGGTGCTGGTATTCGGCTGGAACACATCCTTGCTCTTATTTAAGAGAAGACGTGTGAGGGAAGAAGAATCAATCCAATTTTAACAATACTGTTACTGGAAAAGGGCCTTGATTGGATGAAAAGGCACACCACACAACGAGTAGAACAGAAATAATATAAAAAATAAAAAAAAAACAGATGAACAATATTAATATATCAATATATATATATATATATATATATAAATATAATATATCAATATTTTTATGATCTTATTAATAAAATTTCAAGGCAGCTCAATTATTTATAAAAAAT